TAACGTGCAGAGCATCGAATAGACGCCTTGCCCGAAAAACGAGAAGCCCGAAGGGGGGGGTCCGAATAAGAGCCTGTTTTTGCCACTTCGTTAGCTCTCCAGGGGTCTCTAATCTTGAAATCCGAGACCCAAATATCAGACCTTGCTTCAAAATCAAAGGTTTGCTTGCCACTGCGTTGCCCGGCGCCCGCGCCTAATTTTCCTCCGCCGCACGGCCGTGCCCCTGCCCCTCACACTCCGACTCCGCCGCAGGACCGGTCTGGCGACCCGGAACGGCCGCCTAGAGTACCACCACCGACCATCCCGACCCCGTGGGGGCCGGGGCGGGCCAGCCAGACGTGAGAGCGCCCCTCCCCCCCTCTCGCGGCGCGTCCCCTCCTTCCTCCCCGCACCCCGCCACCCGGCTCGCCGCCCCGTCGCCGTCGCGAGTCAGCCCTCGGTCAGGTACTGCCAAAGGCGGCCGCAAGCAGCACCATCGCCACCGTGCCGGCGCTGGTGAGCTCTGCGGCCCGTGTAGCGGCCCCTTAGCCCGTCGCCCGGGCACATGGCGCCCTCACACCGCTCCTCGCCCCCGTCTCGCAGGCCAAAATCGTCGACATCGCGTCGGCACTCTCTACGGCGCGCCTGGGCTTGCAGAGGGCGGCTTGGGCGGTGCAGGGTGGCTGGGCCGCCCCCCTCCCGCGGTGCGCCAAGCCTCGGGGGTCGGGGAGACCATCTCGGGTCGCCGAGGGGGCGGGTCGGACGCCCGATCCGGCTGCTGGCCGGAGGACGTCGCCGGCTCCGCGATTTTGGGCGCCCCAGGCGCCTCCAGCCGGGCCGAGCGGCGCCAGCTGGTAGCTGGGGCCGCAGGGCGGTCGGGACGACACCGTATGCTAGTCGGGGTGGATTGTCTAGGGGCGTAAAGTTCGGTAGAGTGTCCGTTTGTGGCCTCCGGACGGGCTCTGGTCGGGAGCCCGCCGGGCCGGCTGAGGCTGTGTGTCCGTCCACTGTGGACCCAGTGATGGCCTAGGAGCCCTGCACGGACGGTGTTTATGCTATGTAACACCTGCGGACCGGAAGGTACCGCCGTGGCGCCGCGAGGGGCCGTCTAAGCGCCAGCGTGACCCTTCCCGGGCCCCCTTGGGTGGGCTCCGGTGCACCCGGCAGGGGTAGACCCGTCGCGGCGGCAGCCGGACCACCGGGAAGCGGGATCTGCGACAAGGAGGGCCACGCCTCCCCGATGAGGGGCCAGCGGAGGGGAGGGGCGAGCCGAGGACGATAGAGAGGCCGCGGATGCGGGCGCGACTCGTCGACCAGGGAGAGCCGGCCCGACCTCCCTGGGCGGGGAGCGACGCGACCCTATAGCCACCGCCCTCGCCCGGGAAGTCGGGCCCACGCCGTCGGCAGGGTCGTCAACAGAATCAGGCAGAGAGGACGAGACGGCGGCGGGGCCGCAGCCAAAAAAGGCTAGGAGGGGAGGTCGGGCCCCGCGCCCGTCGCATAACTATCGGGATGCGAACAGAAGGAAGGACCGAGAGATGGGGGAAGACACCCCGGTCACGCACAGTCAGTGTTCAGCGCCACTCAAGGATTGGCCCAATGCCGTCCAGTCCAGCTCTTACCTTTCGACCAGCGGGGCACCGGACCAAGGCCCGCGCATGCAGGGGTGGTCGGGGAATCGATCTGCAAGTTACATGCGCGCCTTGCTGGCGTGGTTCGCGTTGCACTAGCGGTTTGCAGAGCGCCCTTGCGCTTCTTGCTTCTACCGCGTACCGTAGGGTGCCGAACTTAAGGTAAGGTAGCTTGAGTTAGGGAGCCCTTTTCCTCTGACCGAACTCCTGTTCTAATGTGCCTAACTCCTGCTACCCACCTCTCGGTCCAGCCCGGACCGGCACATACGGGCCCCGCGGCCCGCACCACTGAGGCATCTCCCTCCTACGCTACGAACACCTACGCTCAAGTACGAGTGCCTACGCTACTAGATCCCTACTCCTCCTCCTCCTCCTCCTCCTCCTCCCCCTCCTCCTCCTCCTCCTCCTCACTCGCCGCACCCTCGTCAGCTCCACGTCAGCTCCGGCCGTCGGACCAAAAAAGAAATCCCCGGGCCCTAACTGCTGCTACCCCGTGCCTAACTCAGTGCAAAGCACCTACCTAACTCAAGCTACCTTACCTTAAGTTCGGCACCCTACGGTATTTACGCGGCGGTGAACTTTGCGTCCTCGTCATCGCCCCCCATGTCGTCGTCGTCGTCGTCGTCGTCATCTGTGGCGTCGGGGGGGAGAGAGGTCGGCAGTGCGTCTGAGGTGAGCGAGGGTGCTGCAGTGTGAGGCAAGGGATGCCGCGAGGCGTTGGGAGCGAGGGGGTTGGTCGCACCGTCATCGTCCGTTGGCTCGTCGTCGACGTCGTCGTCATCCTCGTCTTCATCTGTGGCGTCGGGGGGGAGAGAGGTCGGCAGTGCGTCTGAGGTGAGCGAGGGTGCTGCAGTGTGAGGCAAGGGATGCCGCGAGGCGTTGGGAGCGAGGGGGTTGGTCGCACCGAGGGAAGGCGGCGTCGGCGAGGCGGAGGGAGGCGGCGGCGTGGGCGGCGGCGGCGACGGCGACGCGGACGGCGGCGGCGCAGGCGGGGCGGAGGGGGGCGGTGTCGACGGTGGAGCAGGCGGGAGATCCGGGAATGGGTCCACCACATTCACGCAGTTCAGCCCGTCGTTGTTGCCGGTGCCAGCGGAGGCGGCGACGCGCTGGAGCTTGAGCATGTCCCCGCCGGTGATGCCGCACTGGCGACCACCAGCCGTGAAGTCACATGCGACAAGCATCTCCTCCAGAACGGGCCGGTTCATCTTGAAGACGCCAGTCCCGCCGTTGGCGGCGTAGTACATGTCGTCGCCGTACTGAAACGCCGCACCGAAGCCCTTGAAGCCCCGTGAGTTGTCGATGTTCTCGTTGGCCTTGTAGCTGGCGCCGAACCACTCGAAGCGGGAGCGCGCGTACGCGTAGCCGTCGACCGAGGTGCCCGACGGGCTGAGCTTGACGATGAGGGCATTGCCATCCTCGGTGGACAGGCCGATCAGATACGTCGTGCCCCCAAAAGTGTACGGGTTGATGTCAAGGTAGTTGTTGCCGTTGTCGCAGCACGGCCGAAAGGTGGAGACGCTGTCCGTGACCGAGTCGTACGTGTACACGTTGTTCGTCAAGTAGCGCGAGTTGGTGGAGTAGTCCAGCTCGTTCCAGCCAAACTGGGCGGTGAGCGAGGCGATGTTCAGGTTGAGTGCGCCGACGTCAAAATTGATGGTCTCGAGTGCCAAGGTGGTGGTTCCACCGAAGCCGTCGTCCCGGTTTCCGAAGATCCAAGCGCCCGGGCACTGAGTGAAAGGGGACGGCGCGCCCGGCGCGAAGCAGCTGGTGTCCGTGAAGCAGGTACTCACGCTCGGGATCGTCCGCAGGTTCTTCGTGCCCATCCCCACGTAGTAGATGTCGTTGACGATCGTCGCCGAGTTGAGCTCCCCGCCGCTTCTAGTGCCCCCCTTCCCCACGATCGACAGGGCGCAGAGGCACTCCATAGGCTCGGCGATCTGGTTGGCTGCGAAGCGGCAGAAGAAGTCCTGATTATTGCCATCAGTGAACTTGCCGTACGCGATGTCGTCGATCGGGTTGATGAAGAAGGCGTTTGCGAAGCTTGGATTCGCACCACCCGCGTCCACGGCGGTGTCGAGTTGGACAGTGTGGACATCCGAGTACACACCAGTCGAGATGTCCAGCTCAATGAGCGAATAGTCGCCGGTTTTCTTGACGATTTGCATCGGGTTCGGGTGGTTCGTGCAGTCGAAGGCTGACACGGACGCGACGGCCTGGATCCGAGAGAGAAGCAGGAGAAAGCAGAGCCGGCGGCGGCTGCGTGTGTGCATACCCTCAGAAACTGCTCCCAAGCACGCGTGCGCGTGCAAAAGGAAGCAGATGGCGCCGCAGACGACGAGCAAGGAGACGGCGCCGAAGTCATGCGCCGATGCGATGCTGCCCTCCGCCGCGTTCGTCTGCGACCGACAAGCTTGCACCTCGTCAGTCTGGCGCTCCAGCGAGCCCTGCACGAGCGGCATCGGCAAATGGTCGTTGAGGCCGGTGTCGAAGTCGAAGAAGCAAGAGTCGAACTCCGGCAAGATCTTGGAGAGGACGGCCTTAAACTCGTCATGCACTCTCCCGCTCTGGCTCTTCTCGAGGACGGTGGTGGCGAGGGCGGAGAGGGCGGAATCCGCGTCGATGAGAGTGCCGGATGCGCTGTCGGTATGGCCAATGTCGGCGAGTTGGGTGACGTCCGAGCCGGAGGCGTGCCCCGCGAGCAGCCCGAACAACATCTCGCCCCGAATCGCTGCGGCCGCGAGTATGTTGAGAGAGAGAGAGAAGATCATTTATTTGGTCCAGGCGGACCAACTTTCCGAGACCTCGAGAGAAGATCGCCACCGACTTGCGCGTTGCGCCTTGGGGAGTGCGGCAAAACACAACCCCCCCCTGAGGGAGGGAGGGTTCCTGCCGTCTGTTGTTTGATGTGCCCTTGTTTGTTCTCTTGGCACCGTGGAGTGCTGGGGGGGGCGACAGGGAGGATGTTTTAGGGGATGTGGCCTTGAGTTATGTGTACGCCAACTCAGGGTGTGGTGCAGCCAGCTGGCTGTGTGTCTTGTGAGCCTGTTTGTGTCTGTGTGTCGCTCGTGCGTGTCGTCATCATCTGTCTAGCGTCCACCAGCTGACAAAAAACAGTGCAAGTTTGGTGTTCACAGCAGCGGAGGCTGAGTGAAGACCGCATGCGATGTGTGAGGAGAGGTATCCGTGAGTACCCTACGATAAACTAGTGGCCTACCACGAGTTGGGGCCCCCACTGCCACCCCAATCGTTATCGGAACGTGTCAGGATTTGTCCTCGGGGCAGCCTGTCCCACGACGGCGTGCATGCACGGCTGCTGTGGCGTGGGTCCTGTGCTCGTCTTCTGTGCTCGTCTGTGCTCGTCAGGTCAGTGCTCGTGAGTGTGCGTGGGCAATGCTGGAGGAGACCCCGATGCAAACCCGCGCTCTCGGCTGCTGCCACTCACCGGACGCGGAGGCGGTCGCGGTCAAGGCCTCAGCGCCCGTCCGTGTCGAGGACCTCGGGGTGAGGGCGCGAGTGCTGCCAAGAGCGTTGCCGCGCCTGATATTGTACGCGGGCGTGACCTGCGTCACGCCCGATGCTTTGCTCCTGCGGCTCCAGCGCGAGGAGGCGGACGACATGCTGACGATCCTCCTCTGGCGCACCGTCTTCGTCTGCGTGATGCTCACTCCGGTCGCCGCCTCGCTCCGCGGCGGGTTTGCGAAGCTGTTCGCTGGCCTCGCCGCCGCGCCGCCCGTGCAGGTGCTGGCGGCCGGCGCTCTGCAGGCGCTGGCGACCGTCACGTTCGGCGCCTCGCTGATGGTGTGTGACCCGGCGCAGGCCCTGATCCTGACAAGCCTAGCACCGCTCTGGGCGGCACTCTTGGGCGCACTCCTGTTTGACGAGCCCGTCAGCGGCCGAACGCTCGGCGCCCTCGCCTTGGCCCTCACGTCGGTGGTGATTGCCTTTGCGCCCGCGGCGCTGGGGGTCGACGCAGCGGAGCGCGACGCGTATGAGGCCCTCGACGCGCGGCTCGCGGCGGCGCGGCGGGAGAAGGCGGCGGCCGGCGTGGGCATGGCTGGTGCGGGCGGCGGTGGCGGCGACGCCAACGGCGCCGCCGGTGCGGTGGGATGGCTGGAGCAGTGGCCGCTGCTTGTGCCGATCAGCACGGGGCAGTTCATGGCCGGCTACATCGTCGCGACCCGCCGCCTCGCCCACTCGCACCCGCGCGCATGCGGCCCCGCCATCCCCGCCCTCGGCGCCTACCTCGCCCTGCTCGTGCTCGGGGCGGCGAAGCTCGCGACCGAGGGAGCCCGAGGCCTGGTCCCTCCGAGCGGCACCTTCGTCGCCCTCTCCGCCCTCAACGCCTTTGGCATCTCCGCGATGCACATTGCCATCGCCCTCGTCTCCGGCCGCGTCCCGCCGACAGAGGTCGCCATCGCGCTGCTGCTCGAGGTGCCGCTCGGCCCGCTCTGGATGGTCGCCGGCGTCGGCGAGCCGCTTTCCGCCTTCACCATGTCCGGCGGTGCGCTGCTCATCGCCACGATCGCCGGCAAGGAGCTGCTCGACGCGCACTGGCCGCGGGAGGCGTTTGAGCAGTTCGACGTGGAGGGCGCAGTGGCCTGCAAGATCCCACCCTTCCCCGACACGCGCACGTCCCCCGACGCGCCGCACGCATCCATCTCGGACCCTTCTCCGCGTGTCCGGAACTCATCCTTCGGACGGATCCCCTCCATCACCGACCTCATGAACATGGTGCGGTGAGGCCTTCTGCCCTCTGGCTCTGCTTGCTCCAGCGCCCGCATACATGGGGGATTCACGAGAGATGAGTATCATAAACGGCGCTCTCGGGGATGGGATGGTGTACTGTATGTGTGCGCATGCGGTGTAAGCGGTGGCCGGTGCGCGCCGCCCCTTCAGCTCTGGAGCGAAGGCGGAACGGCAACGGGGGTGGGGTGGAGAAGGAGAGCGGAGAGCGACGGGGCGCGCGTCTCAGGCTGCCGGCCCGCGGTCAGACGTGTTGCATGGTATGCAAGAGGACATGAAAAGACACACTCAAGAGGCGTGGAGCACGTCCAACGAGCCACACGCTCTACCGGTACTCTGGCGCGGGTGGCGGTCTACGGGAGGCTCTAGGACTCTACGGGAGGGCTCTGGATCTAGGAGAAGCCGGTGGGTCTCGCAGTGCCGATCCACTAGCTGCTATAAGAGATGGCGCCGTCACCGGCAGATGACGCCCGCCAGGCTAGGCATTGGGACTACCGGGGGCTGGTACGTCCCGTGCCGGACGCCGGGGAAGAGCAAGAGCAGGCTGACCTCGCCCGCCCAGCCAAGCGCGGTACTGCTCTTGCTCGCGTCCACGGGCTCGATGCTCCCCTCAAGTCGCACACTGCACTGCTGCGCGGTCACGCGGGGCAGCGTGTCTCCGTCTCGGCGGTTTCGCCTGTAGACCCCATCCAGAGCAGGGCCGATGACACTCTCGTCGAGGCGCTTGTCAAGCCATTTGCCGCCAACCTCAGCGCCCATGAGCATGCAGCCCTCGCCCGTCTCGACTCGGACGGTGAAGTGGATGGGCCTTCGCTTGGCAAGCATGGGTGGGCAAGCAAGATCTGCCTCTGTGACGACCTGTGACTTTGTGGACGGCAACCGGTTCCGGTTCAGTGTGTTCTAGGGAAAGCAGGGTGGGCCTATACAGTACTCATCGGGGGCGACGCAATCGGCGATAGGGGTGCGTCGCTGGCGAGCGAGGGCTACGGGCCAGTTGTCACTTCGGCGGCGCACCCAGCCTACCTCGGCGCGCGCAGGCATACCAACAACACGGCGGAACTAACCGCCCTAGCCGAACTCCTCCGGGCTCTCCTGTCCTCGTCACCGCAACGAGCGGGCTCACGCGGAGTAGTGCGGACCGACAGCGAGTACGCGGCGGCGTGCATGATGGGGAGGATGACCCCCAAAACGAACAGACAGCTAGCGGAGCGCCTTCGTTCCCTCTGGCGACGCCTTCGCGCCAAACACACCGTGACGTGGAGGCATGTGGCGGGTCACAGCGGCAACAAATGGAACGACTACGTCGACGAGCTAGCTGCTCGCGGCAGGCAAGGTGACAGAGGCTCAAACGCTGCCGAGTGGGCGGACAACACCATCCCGACGGACACTCCCGACGAGGGGAGCGACACGGAAGGACCCGCCCCCGCCCCTCGGGGCGGGGGCCCCCGCCCCCCCGGGGGGCCCTTTGGGGCCCCTCCAGGGGGCGACCCCTCCGGGGAGGCCGGCCCTCCCCGTGCCGGTTCTCCCCAACCAACCCCGCCGGCAGCGCGAGCTGCCAGCCATATTGAGCGGTTCAACCGCGTCGCGCACTCGTCCCAACCGAGGGCCGCAGACTCGTTCTGCGCGCCAACGGCTGGTGACGCTGTGTTGCCCTTGAGCTAGTCCTTCCCCGGTCGCCTAGCCTCTGCGCTGTCTGGCGGACGCCTGTATGCCATGCACGCGGACCACGCTTGCGTGGATACGTGGCTGGCAGGCTGACCCGTGTGCGGGGTAACCCGCGCACGGGGAAGCTTCACGGGTTCGAGCCGTCAAACATTGAGCAGCGGAGGTGTGCCGAGGGGGGCCGGGAGGCGGTAAGCCGTCGTCGCCCGGCGCTGCATGCAGCACCGTGGCGATGGCGCTAAGAGGTTCCTCTTTTCCGCGCCCCCCCCGCAAGGCGCGCGATACACATGTTCTCGAGGTGCACGAGGTGGATATCCTTTGGCCGCGTTGGGTAGCGAGGTGTTGCGTGTGTGTGGTAGCGTGTGTATCAAGAATACTCACTCACACTTCCGGTTCACCCCAAGCGCCCGAAACCTGATTGGGGACTGTCCGAGAATTTTCTGAACAAAAGTCTGTCGCACACGCACGATTCACACAACAGGCAAAGCGCGGACGACGGCTTCTAATAGAAGCCGTCGTCCTCACAGAAGCCGTCGTCGGATTCGCAGTCAGAAGGCGGATGGTCGAATCCGCGAGCACCGTGGTGCTCGCCGAGAGGACCATCCCCATCATCTTCCGACTCCATCCCCCCCCCGTCGCACCCGCCGCGCCCCCCGCCGGCGCTCGTGGCGGGACTTCCCGCCCCCCCCGCCAGCGCCGCCCCGCAACTCCTCCCGGTCCCCCTCAAAGAGGAGCACCCGCCCCTCAGCTCGGAGTCGAGCGCGGCTGGCCGCCGGACGCTCCATCAGCACGCGTACACCGTCCGGCTGACGATCTGCCCAGGCGCTCGCTTCGGCCTGCACCTCAACGACGCCAACCGGGTGGTGCGGCTGGACGCAGACGGCCTTTGCCGCAGCGGACGGCAAGCTCCAGCCGGGAGACACGATCCTCTCGGTGAACGGCGTGCAGGACGGGCGCACCGTCGTCTTTCAGGCGGCGCGGGCAGCTGAGCTGGCTCCGCCACCCGCAGACGGCGCGCCGCCTCCGCTGCCTCCGCAGCTGCAGCAGACGCTCACGAGCGCGACGGGCTGGCTGCGCAGCCGGCTCGGCGGCGGTGGTGCGGGCGGCGCGGGAGAGGGCGCTGTCGCGGAGGCAGCAGCCGCGCTTCGCGTATTGCGCGCCTGGGCTTGTTGATGTTCTCGGCGTCGCCCTATTATTAAGAAAATTTAAAAAAAGAAATCCGTGCGACCCCACACTACAGAGGCGTGAATCCTTTAGGATTCTCGCCCGCTCTGCTGAGGGGAGGAGCCGGACGATCGCTCGGTCGAGCCTGCCCTGCTGGTCTTTGACCTCATGTTGACGTTCTGTTCACAGACGGATCCGTCTAGTGAATCTCGGCGGGCGCGGCCCTCACTCCGAAACAGGTGCGGCGTGGTGGTGCGGGGCGGCGCGGCCGCCTGCACCGCACCGGGTCTCTGGCCATTGGAGCAGAGAGCAGTGGTCGCGCCGCCCATGTCCGGACCAACACCCTGACCGGCGAAGAGGCGGGTCTGCCCCGCCGTCCCAGGCGACGAGTCCGGGCAGTGCACGCAGGAGCGATCGCAAACCCTTTGCAGACTCGTTACTTCTTCGAACCTTCCTCTCGCGACGCCACTTTGCAACCGCTGCCAGCTCCCACCCAGCGCCACCGCTCTCTGCTGCCCCGCTCTCAGCTGCCGCCCCTTTCTCACGCTGCGGCGCTCGCCTGCCCCCTCTCCCCGCCGCAGCTGCCTCTTCCCTGTGCCAGCCATTCCGGGCCGCTCAGTGTATGGCACGTTCACGGCCATCGTCAAGCAGGATGAGCCCATCACAAGCGGTGAGGTCGAACTCCGCGTCTACGGCCCCTTCAACATCGAAGTTTCGAAAGAGACGACCGACCTCTGCTTCGGAACTGGCGTCGCCTGCCCGACCTCAGCTCTCGTGCAAGGCGTGGTCCGCCAAAAGGTGCCGAGCAGCGGGTTCGTGTCTCAGGCCGGCATCGAGATCGAGATCCGCGGGAACGGCAAATCGCTCGCCTGCTACTACATCAGCGTTGAAGTCGGCAGGAGCGGCGATGTTCCTCCGCCCGCGCCGCCTCCTTAGGTGCTGTCGCCTCCGCCGCCGCTCTTCGGCGCCACCGCCAATCTGGTGGAGCGCAGCGTGCCAGGCGTGGGAAGCAGCGGAGGCCCGCGTTCCTAGAAGGTTCCTAGAAGGTTCCTAGAAGGTTCCTAGCAGCGGAGGCCCGCGTTCCATACCTCTCTCCCCGCGCGCCCCACACCGCACTGCTCCCCAGAGCCTTCCTTGCTCGAGTAGGAACCTGCACGTGCGCGGACGGCCTCGTCTACCGCGTCGGCGCCTTCGCATCCGGCGGCGGTTGTGGACCGCTCGCGTGCATCGGGGGCGAGCCAGGGCCCTGCTCCGCCGACAATGCGGCCGGCGGCGGAGTGCGGGTTACCTGCGCCGAACCGGTTGCCGTTCCTCCGCCGCCGCCAGCTCCGCCAACCCCTCCCCCGTCGCCGCCCCCGCCGCCCTCGCCCGCGCCACCGCCATCGCCGTCGCCCCCGCCGCCTTCGCCCGCGCCACCGCCATCGCCGTCGCCCCCGCCGCCTTCGCCCACGCCACCGCCATCGCCGTCGCCCCCGCCGCCCTCGCCCGCGCCACCGCCATCGCCTTCGCCCCCGCCGCCCACAACAAAGCCGCAGGAGCCACCTGCCGCGCCGCCTTCGCCAGCGCCGCCGCCTTCTCCCGCGCCGCCGCCGCCGCCGCCGGCGCCGCCCTCACCGCCGCCGCCGCCGCCGCCCTCCCCGCCTCCCCGCCGCCCTCACCATCGCCTCTCCCGCCGCCCTCGCCGCATCCGCCGCCCTCGCCGCCGCCGCCTCCGCCGCCCCTCCCACCCCCGCCGCCTCCGCCGCCGCCTCCGCCCTCACCGCCTCCGCCCCCGCCGCCCCCGCCGCCCCTCCCGCCCCCGTCGCGCCCTCCGCCGACCTGGTCGGATACATGTTATTGAGAAAGAAGCAAATACGTCTTATGGCGCTGTGCGCTGGCCTATGAGAGGTTGAGGTGCGAGCCCTGGAGGCCCTGGGGATGGGGGGAGACTACCCGCGGGCCTATAGAAGGCCTGCAGGTGGTTGTTCACACGACAGACAAGGTGCGGGCGACGGCTTCCTCAGAAGCCGTCGCCCCCACCACAGCGGGACCGATGCGGAAAAAGGTGCCAAGCGGGTGGGAAAGGAGAGGCTCAGGAGCAGGCTGCGGGAAAAGCTGTTCCGAGTTCCTTGGCTGCCCCCCACCCATGTGGCGAGAGCAGAGGCAACTAGTGGTAGCAAAAGTAGCAGCCGCCGCAAAGCTGGGTTTTGGGGCAGTGCTTTCGGGTTGTTCTTGCACCACGGCTTGCACACGTTTGCCGGCGGTGGAGGCGGCCCGCAGGGGTCGCAGCACCCGAGCGTGCCGCACGCGATGCGGCCGCCGTCATACCCGTGCACGACATTGCGAACAAATCCCCTAATCTTTTGATCCGCAGCGAGCGCTCGTCCACCTACTAACCGCGCTAGTGGTGTAGTAAAATTTTACAACAAAACTCCCTCGCACGACACTGGGCACGGGACTGGCGCGCACTGGCACTAACACAGGTACACTGGCGCGCACTGGCACTAACACAGGCACACTACGGGAGCCGCCTAAGCGGCTCCTGCGAGGACGGCGAGGCACTTAGCTCCGTGCACTCGACCGCCCTCGCCGCAGGCAAGCTCATGTGGTGTAGTAGAACACGCTTCGAAGCAATCAACAACCAATGACGCCAGCAGGAGCGATCTAGGGGGGGGGGGGGGGGGGGCTCGGCGACGACGCGCTGCGCGTGGCGGAGGAGCACGCCGCCGCACGGCTCGTGGAGCGTCCCGAGTGCCCTCCTCTCGCGGCTCGGACCGTCGGAGTATGCCGATGGACCGTCCACGTGTTTTGGGAGTCACGAATAAACTGGCACACGGGATGCTTTGGTGTGGGCATTGACTGCCACTGCGCACTGCCACTGCGCACTGGCAGCGGCGTGACGCGTGTGGGGCGGTAAGACTTTGCGATGGCGGCGGCTCGGACCGTACCTCGGAGTATGCAGGGCGTACATCAAAATCAAGGGGACTCGACGCTCGGGGTGTGGAGAGGCAACAGAGTTTATTTAATGCACAGTAAGAGCTGGTGGGCAGGTACTTCTAATGGACATGCTGACATGCGCGAGCGGCCCTACACCGGGCCGCAGCGGCGTGACACTCCACGTACCAATCTCATGCAAGAGCGGAAGCTGAGCACAGGAGTACGAGAAGAAGCAGGCAGTTCGGAGGTAGAACGAAAACGAGATCCCATGAAAGGTACATCATAGGCTGCAGATACTCTCTGTGTACACGATGAAACCAGTCACCCCAGCGCTCGCGCATCAAGTCGGCGATCAGAGCGTTCATGCGTTCCGTGTCAATCTCGCCATTGCTGCGCCGACCCGACGCGTACATAGACGCTTCCCATTGCTGGTGGAGGAGAACCATCGCCGCTGGGCTGCAGACGGGCGCTGCTCAGCGAAAGGTTGACGAACTCCTTGGAGGGCGGCTCTTGAGTGAGTGAAGGAGCTCGCTAATAGGGCGTCGCAAGAAAAAGAAAAAAATTAGAAGCGCCAAGCGTGGCAGCCAGCTGGCTGTGTGTCTTGTGAGCCTGTTTGTGTCTGTGTGTCGCTCGTGCGTGTCGTCATCATCTGTCCAGCGTCCACCCATACCGCGGTTGGTGTCCATCCAGTCCGAGCCTGGCTGTTCTTCACCTTGAGCACTGGTGAGCACTGGATAGGGTCGATTCCGCATGGTACGGGACCCCTCGATCGTCTCGCCCTCCCTCACTGGTGTGTTCATTGGGGGGGGTTCCTAACAAACACGGTACAGGATCGAGGTGCACGCTGCTGAGGGACCCCAGAGGGTAGATCGAGCAGTGTCGTCCCCCCTCTCCATCATCTCACTGGGAGACGTCGGCGGCGAAGACGGTGTGACCGATCGAGCTACAAGAGGAGCTTGTTCAGCATGATCAGGTGAGGCCCAAGCGCACGTTCTTCACCTTCCTACCTAACCAGTAACCTAACCTAAAGCGTGTGTGTGTGTGTTGACTGTTGTTTCCTGGAGGCAACCGATGGCTAGTGCCATTTCACTGTGGCACAACTCGCGTTACAAAACCTTGATTTGACCATTTGCGCCATTTTTCCCCTCGGTGCCTTCACGGTGGAGCTGTGACCGCGCCGAGTGGACGGGGGAACTCGGCAGGTGGCGCGGAGTGCCCCCGTCCACTTGGCGGGGTCGCAGCTGCTTCTGCGCGTCCTGGGGAGGGACAAAATTGTCGCCGCCGGAGACGACGCTCGACGCCGCTGAGATCGGAGATCAAGCTCTGACAGGTCGCACGTCGCTCCTTTGACGCCGACGTGACTCACCCGTGCAGATCACATCAGGACACGGTCTCGACGCGCTCGGCACGACGCCTGCGACCCGTCTCGGGTCAGGTGGCACGACGCTCATCGCGCCTACCAGCGCTGCCGTACAGGTTGCCACGACGAGGTCGAGCACGCTTCTATACGCTCGCCCAGCCTTCCTTTCCATCCCATTAGGCAGCCTGGGAACGGCGGCGGTCAGAGGCAAAGCCTACGAGGGGTGGTGGAACCACATGTCACGGCTACTGCCGGCTCGACCCCAAATAGCCTCCGAAGGCTGACTTTGCGGCACCATCATCGGACGATGTCGACGAGTTGGGTCAATCTCGCGGTAGCCAGATGACCTCTCTTCCTAGGAGCATCGGCCATGGCCGCAGGGAGCGCGGGGGAGGGCGCTGGAAGCAACACGGAGCTCCGTTGGAGACGTTTTCAAGATTAGCGTGTCAGAGTGAAATGGCACTAGCCGATGCGAGTCGACTGGTGTGTGTCGTCGTGGTTTCGTATCAAGAATACTCACTCCCTCACACCCACGCGCAACGCACAGAATTCTGAATTGTGCTCACACACGCTTGACCGAGAGTCTCACATGCACATATTCTGAAAGGGCGCGAGGGCACCCAGGGGCAAGGGGATCCTTCCTAAGAAACCCCACGCCCGCCCTAGCAACCCAGAGTCCGTCCACTCGCGCTTGACGGGACACTCTCGCACGTGGATCCGCCATTCGCGCTGCTGTCTCTGGCCGCGCTAGCAGCAACCGCGGCCACGGGCTGCGCCGGGGGCGGGGGAGGCAGGCTCCGGTTCAGCTCGCGAGCCTCGATCACAACGCCCTCGTCCGCAGCATCCGCGCCGCGATGTAACCGCTCACCCACCGGCTTGACGGCTTTGCGGGCACCGACCGGCGTCGCCTCCTCCTCCGCCTGCGCCGCCTCCTTCGCCTCCTCCTCCGCCTGCGCCGCCGCCTTCGCCTCCTCCTCCGCCTGCGCCGCCGCCTTCTCCGCGGCCGCCTTTGCCGGCTTCGCCTCATACGGGCTCGGAGAAGGCGGAGCGGGCGGAGCAGGCGGAGAACACCTTGGGCTCCTTGGACTCCTTGGCGTGCCGGCGGGCGAGATCATCGCGCGGAGGCTCCGGCTCAGGTCGACCTGGCCCTGGATGGACGCCTCGAGCCTCGCCTGGAGGTGAGGCAAGGTAAGGTAGGGTAAGGTGAACGTCTCGCCACACACAAGGTGGCGGGGCAATGGCCAGGCCAACCCTCGCGGCTCCACGTCTAGGAGAGGCGTGAGCCCCACGGCATTCAACGTGCTAGGCCCGGTAACGCGTGGGTGGTGCGTGTGCGTGTGAGTGTGTGTGGGGAGGGCCACGCCTGGAGGAGCACGTCCGCCGCCTCCTCGAACGTGGGCCGCTCGAGCGGGTCGAAGGCGAAGCACGCCTCGGCGAGCTGCGCGACGGCCTGCGGCCACTCTGCCGGCGCGAAGCAAAGCGCGCCGGGCTGCCCCCCGGGGTTCGAGGTCGGCCGCATCTCGCCCTTGGTCACCTTGTTGAGAAGGTCGAGCGGCGAGAGGTGGCCGGACTCGAGCAGCGCGGCGAAGGGCGGCCGGCGGGTCGCGATGTGGACGAGCAGCCCGCCAAAGGACCAGACGTCGCACGGCTTGCCGTACCGGTCCTGCCGGAGCACCTCGGGCGCCATGTAGACTGGCGTGCCGGCCATCGACATGGTCATCGCCGCGCTCGCTCGCTCGAGCGAGAAGGCGCCCGCGTGCAAGCCGGCGGAGGGGGCGGGCTGCATGTTCTCGCGCGACGCGCCAAAGTCTGCCACCTTGGCAGTCATCATCGGCAGTTTGAGCAGCACGTTGCCCGGCTTGAGGTCGCGGTGGATCACGCGGTGGCTGTGAAGGTACGCCATCCCGCGCGCCACCTCGGTGGCCACGCTGAGGTACGGCGTCGTCCACGAGGCGGGCGTGCCGCGCGGCGTGTTCGCCTGGAGGTGTGGGGAGGTGTGGGGAGGTGTGCGGAGGTGTGGGGAGGTGTGGGGAGGTGTGGGGAGATGTGGGGAGGTGTGGGGAGGTGTGCGGAGGTGCGGGGAGGTGTGGGGAGGTGTGGGGAGGTGTGGGGAGGTGCGGGGAGGTGTGGGGAGGTGCGGGGAGGTGTGGGGAGGTGTGGGGAGGTGCGGGGAGGTGTGGGGAGGTGTGGGGAGGTGTGGGGAGGTGTGGGGAGGTGTGGGGAGGTGCGGCGAGGTGTGGGGAGGTGCGGGGAGGTGTGGGGAGGTGTGGGGAGGTGTGGGGAGATGCGGGGGAGGTCGCCTGGCTGAGGAAGTCGTCCAGCGCGAGGTCCATCAGCTCCGTCAGGATGCCGTGGTTGCGGTCGCCGTCCGAGACGAGCCCGAGGGTGAGGAGCACGTTTGGGTGGCGGAGCTTGAGCGCGAGGCGGCACTCCTCGACCAGCACCTGCATCGCTCGGTTGGCCGCCTCCTTGCTGAAGCGCAGCCGCTTGCACGCCACCCCCGTCGAGGCGTACAGTGCCTGGTAGACGTCTCCGGCGGCGCCCGAGCCGATGAGCTCGCCGAGGGAGATCGCGTCCCACGACATGAGCTCGAAGTTGGAGAAGCTGCCCACAGAACGCGGAACGACTTGG